TTTCCACGATATTTTTAGAAAAATAATATCCAAGTAATTTTCGCAGGCAAAATATTCAAAAAACAATAAACGCATTAATGCAAAAATCAGTTTTACTTCCTTTTTCGATTCCGCGATTGTAATGAAATCGTATAATGAGAAAAAATAATAAAATCGTTTTATTATTAATTAATAATTTTTCTTATTGTACTTAATTAATTAAGAAAATATTAAATATTAAAAAATACAGTATTTTTAAAGTTAAAATATGATTAAACTAACGAAAACCAAAAGCAAAGTGATGGAGAGGTAGGACGCGCTTGTATATTGATGACATAATACACGTAACTGAGGAGAGAACGAAAAAAACCGAGTCGAATTAATTAAGTGGGAAAAAAGAAAGTGTGCATTATAATCGAGAAAATGCGAGTATTGTATTAATCTTTAAAATAAAATACAATACCAATATAGCCCTATCGTTGAAAAAATTCGCTTATTTTTGCTCACCTCGAGTTTTGCTTAGTAGAAATGGCTAAAAAGTGCGCAAAATACGTACGGAAATACGTTATTACAGGACCACCTGTATTGGACGACCACCTGTCTAAAAGACCACTTTTTAAAAGAACTGTGGGTGGTCGCCATAGACAGGTTTTACTGTACCTGAAATTCTGTGTAATGAGTGCAAATTGTAATTACCAGAGCCCCTTTGGCTGCCAATTTAAAGTCTTTTAATCTTTAAAATTGGCGTTTCCACTCCCCGGGACGAGGACCCAGGGGTTGGATTTGTGGGAAGCGCGTGTTCGGGTTGTTTCATTGTGTCGAATTACACGGAACAAAGCACTTGAAGTGTAAGTGCGTGTGTGCAAGAATTCAAGTAAAGGTTAAACGGTGTATATCTTCGTGTACAGTGATGTTATGTTCGTGCATGTGTGATCGAAGAACATCTTCGGCATGTTCATAAACAGAAAAACAGTCAATTACGATACGAGAATAAGACGTGTTAAAAAATGAAACGAAAGAGTTCTTACCATCGAAGATTTCGGAAAATATTCACTTGCACGATAAATGGCCATTTCATCCTCTTCGCGGTAAAGTTGGGGAGGGAGATTCTTCTCCCTCCCAAATGTTCCTATAGAACACAAAAGATAGTGAGAAAATGAGAATTTCATTCATTTATTACCTAAGGTCAACATTATTACCTTTATCAGACAGTCTTTCTTCCCGAACAGTGTTATGAGAAGAGCGAAGGACCTGACCTGACCTAGCCTAGCCTAACTTACCGTAACCGGAAGCTCAATCCTCATAACAGCTGCTTGGGAAGAAAGGTAGGCCGAATGTCGCGTCCGGGTGGTCACAATCGGAAGTCAAATCCATTGTTGTCATCGAGTGTCACGTTTGGGAGACAAGTCCATGAGAACATCCGGGTAAGAGAAGGCCAAGTCCGAGTAAAGAGATCATGTCCGGATGAAAAGTGTCGAATCCGGTCAGAATGTCGCATCCGGGTGCAAAGGACGAATTAGGGAAAATCGAAAAGGATCACTGCCTAGGCCAAGAGAACCACAGCCACCCACAGCAACAAAGCCGCAGTTCCTCGATTTCGGCGGTGCTCTCCTCCGAATCTTCCCCGTTCCGACTTCCGAAAGACGATGGCGACGTACTCGCGAGCACAGACCGAGAGGCAGATCTCGTGAAAATAGACGAACTCCAAGAGGACTCGGTACTCCCTATGCCTTACTTAACAAGGACATAGGCCGGCTGATCCCTGACGACCTTAGCCAAGTGGAATGGACTCAGAACTCTCCCGCCTCTGGGAGAGTCCCACGCCACACGCACTGGAGGAAGGTCGTCACCACCCGCTGCCTCATGCTCGACGGCCTCAAACGACACCGAACTAATCGATTCGACAGAGACTCAGTTGAGCTCACGGTCCTCGAACGTCTCATCGGAGCCGTCCGAGAAACCCCCTCCCTCCGGCATTCTTCTGTCGGAACCTCCGGCGAAACCACGCAAACATCTTCATTCTGAAAAAAAAAAGAAACTTTGCAATTAGTCGATTAAAACAAAAGCTTAAATTAATGTATAAATTCTTCCGAGAAAAGCAAAATGCTCACCGCAGCTGCCTTTTTAAATGTAAAAGATTCAAAACGAAAACGGCCGACCATCGAACGATGTGCCGAGATGTCTTCTGGGAGCGATTCTCTAAGTAATATTAAACAAATTCTTACGTCTAGGGTCAATATGGACTAAGACTTACCTGAAAAATCTTTAATCTTCTACCGAAAAGTCCGCAAACAGCGAAAAACAGCACATAAATTACGAGCGCAAGAAAAGCACGTCCAACCAGAACCAGAAACGCAATCGAACTGCGAATCGTCATGTGACGTATTTCGAACAAACGTTAAAAGACGCGTCAACGATCTTCGAATTACGTAAAAATTGGAATTAAAAAAAAATCAATTTTATTTTTTTTATTAATTTATAATTTTTTTTCTTTATAAAATTTTGCTTCAAGCAGTTTCTTGTGTTCGCAATTTGATAAATAAATTATCTCCTACATTTACATGGTGCAGAATGTCCACCGTAGAGCCTTAATTCTATGTCTGGAGGCTTGGCCATCCCCGAAAATCGCACGAAATTCGTTCGAATAAATATCTTTTTCATCCGTTTTCGGCCATGGGATGAAATAAATCAAATTTTTAGGATTTCGCCCAATATTATTTAGCTTTTCGGAGAGATTCCTCGGTCGCCCGCGGGTTTCGCGTATTAATGCAACATCAAATTGGATAAAGTTAATATTAAAAATACCGAAAAACCTTTATAATACCGCCCGAACGAAAATGAAGTCCGAGACAACGGGGAAATCGACACAGAGAATAAACAGATTGAGCCGGGGAGAAACGACCGTTTTTGAATTTCTGCCTTTTTAAAGGATCTCTCCCTAAATTCTTAATTTGATGGGTTAATCAATTTGACACCTCCGTTCGACTTGGCCCGCAAATGTTGATTTAACCTTGGAACTTTCGCTCGTATCTCACGCCGTGATATTTTCTTTTCTGACACGGCTAAAAAAATTTTCTTTATGTCTTAATTACGTACAACGCGCGACAATTTTGCTTTCGGAGGAATGCTACATTTATTTGAAAATTTTGGCATGTCTACCAGAGTCAGAGTCAAAACAGGGATTTTTTTCCCATCGACATTCTAAACATTGCAATCCGTTAGTTCGTGTCGATTCGTGACATTAGGGAGCTGCAATTTGAAAAAATTGTAGACCTCTAAATTTTCACTGTCTGTCTTAATCTCGAGAACGTAGTTAGATGAAATCCGAGACCAGATAAGAACAGGAGGCTCCAATTAACTATGTATGAACTTCCCATGCAAACCGGAAGTCACATTTTTTTCAATTCAAAACTTCCCCCCGGTAGCAGATGGCTCTATTGCTAACGGAAAAAGTATGATGTACAGGGGCAAGCCACTACTAATTTGAGGTGGAGAGCACACATTTTAAATTAAATGATTTTAAAATATGATAACAAAAGTTGTAGCCCAGCATTGTGACCGTGTCAGAATAAATAATTGCTCGTACTTATAGTTTGTTTGTGAAAATTTTGGTTTTAATTTGTAAAAATATTTACAATGAAAAAGCACATTTTACCCTTAGTCGTGTTATGAACCACAATATTGAAGTTAAAATCCTTCTAAGTGGTAATAAGGAGTTAACAAGGAGGTAATAACTGTGGAAAATGGAAGAAGCGTTGCATTTGCCCATCAAAATAGACAAAGAAAACATGCCAGTAAGTGCAAGAGACTGATATATAGAAACTACACCATTAGGATGTGTACAAATTGTGCACTACATCCATCATTGTGCATAACAAAACTATATTAAGACGAACTAACCTTTTGTTCGTTATGTTGGAGACACTAAAGCCGTGAGCCGGAGTAGGGATTAAAAAATGACCAATCCGAAATGCATTCTTAAATAGGCGAAATAAAGAAAACTGTTTTAATCTCGGTTTCTGCTAGTTGTGCATAATTAAGAAAGACGTGATAAATATTACTAGTCTCACTATTGGAAGAAGAAACCTTCTTTTATAACTTTTTATACGCCCTCCAGCCTGACGAAATATAGAGTCTGACTCCTCGAAGTTAACTACCGTCCTTTTCCCGAAGTCTTTGTACATTTCTAACCTTTCAAGTTGTTTCGGCCGAGGCACCATTTTTTCTCGATGGCGTCTTTTTCATTCCTAAGGAGTGAGGAAATTGTAGGGTTTTTCTAAAATCTTACGATTTCCTCACTCCTTAGAATTGTGCTTACTACATCGGGTTATCTCCTTATAGATGGAACAAAGGGCCTTCTCGTAGGTGACTACCACACCGTGTGATAGAACTGCCTGGGCTGAAACGTTCGGAAAGCAGAGATATCTACAAACTGTTCGGGATAAGAACGGCATGAGCATACATAGTCCATTTATATGTTACTGTAGGTGTAGTATCATACAATTTAGCAAAATCGCTGTAGAGAAAATTGCCGTCAACTCTGATGATGTAAACAATAATGTAACGAAACGATGACGTCATCAATGTTTATATCAAAATATATTTTAAATTATCATGTTACTGAACGCCGAATCGTCATAAATAGTTTTATTTGGCATAAATTTAAGCCTTTGTAGTTTATGATCTTATAAGCATAAAATTAAGCCGTAAAACCGAAATAGCTTTATGGAAAACCCCGTGACCGAAGTTTCGCCAGCACCTCACTGATAACGAGAAAATCTTACGTTTAAAATTTGAGCTTTCTGAACCCAGTGGTGTCTCTCTACGAGCATGTGCACTGCCGGATGAAGAAAATACCGCTTTTTTTGCAGATGTTTGCACTTTATATTTCGGCAACCGCTTTATACAAAATCTTGAAATTTTGTATAAAGCACACTACCTAAGAAAACAGTTTTCCTTCGAACGAGACGAGATATTCGAAATTACCATACGTTTTCTGGGGCGGAAAAATCGACCCCCGAAAATCGGAAACTGATTCCTGTATATGTATTCGGTTAGTGAATTTTTTACTTGCCGAAGAATCACTGTAGTGACTCCTAATAAATGAAATATCGTTTCAAATTACCTGAAAAACGATACACTTGTTTTTTATCTTTTACCGGTAAATTTGATAGTTGGTTACGGGTTTGTATCTGATTTATGGCCCGGTCATGTTGAGTTTTCGGGGGTTTTTCTAGCAAGTCCTTCCGAGAAGAGCACTCTTGGCAGATCGCCCTTGCGTTGTGCTGTGTTGTGGCATTCTCTCAAAGTAAACTTTAATTTTTATGTAATATACTAGTTACATTAGTTGGTGTTAATTTGCTTATGATCAACATCCCCACAACAGAGAAAACTTTAATTTTTATGTAATATACTAGTTACATTAGTTGGTGTTAATTTGCTTATGATCAACATCCCCACAACAGAGAAAAATGTAAATAATTATTTATAATAGTAGTTTTGAAAAAATCAGAAACAATTCATGTCTTTGGATTCAAAATGCCCGTAGGCATATATTATCCGAATTATCTTGGATATCCGGGTACGAAAATTCTTAGTGTTCGGCTCTAATCATGAACGCAATGGCCAGAATTCATAATTTTTTACTGTAAAGTAACGAAAGATAACTATTTTCTACAATATTTATTGCAAAACGTTTGGCACCGAAAAATAAAAGTTAATCATATTTTTAATTTATTTAAAATATATTCTCTCCACCTCGTAGTAGTAGTAGTGGCTTACCATGTACAGAGCATCATATTTTTCCTATCAGAAGAGTTAAGATGACATGCACGACTCCTTTTAGGATAAAATTTTTGAATTGAAATAACGTGACTTCCTGTTTACATTGGAAATTCGTATATATTGANCTGTGAGTGATAAACAATGTTTTATTTGTCTTGTATTAAATAAAACATTAACTCAAAATTTAAAACATAAATATATAGAGTTTATAAAGTTTAAAAGTCATAACCACAATTTGACATTTGTAATTATTTTCCCATTAACATTGTAATGGTTTTTCAATCGGCCATCTTAGATAATTTAGAAAGAAAACGGTCTTCATACGTTGTCTCTATTGATATTATTCAAACTTACGATAGTGCCATTCCAAATCTTTTAATAAATATATTACTGTGAGTTCGATGCCAAGCTTTGATAAATAATTACTTTTTGTTACGAACTTGCGAAATTACTGATTATGTTTATTTAAATTTTTTCACTCAGTAACATACAACAACGTCTTAGCTCAATTACTTTTTAATTCTCTTTAGCATGCATTAATAATCCTCTTTCTAAATTTAATTCAGTTGAAGTAATTTAAGCAGATGACACTAAATTAATCAATACTAATCTAAGTAGACCTATATTATAATTCCGCCTGAATCATTTGTTCACTCTCAGCCATGTAATTTAAGAATTAATTCTAGAAAAGCTATTATCATGGATTTTCTCATTACTTGATAATCCAGAATATTTAATATACAGTAAACAAACATATAACATCAAATTTACAAAAATAATAAAACGGCTTCCTGTAACTTTTTTTTATTTCAAAAATTATGTTTTATTCATAATTCTTTACCAGTTTTAAATATTACAGTACATTATTATTTCATGGATTGATCTACTGTCACTACCCTCTCAGTTTAGTCTTACATCCTCGAAATAAATATTTTTTATTTCAAAAATTATGAAAGAAAATTGTAAAATTAGTCTACTTTTGTAGCAAGCAGAATGTTAACTAATCTCTCTTATTTCAGAGATTAGTCAATATTCTGCTTGCTCCATCTTTACTTCATCTTTGATAAGTGGTGCAGGTTGGATGGCAGTTATGTCATAGTTACTATTTACAATTTCTTTTTACTGTTGTTTACAAATAAATCACCTCACTCTAATAAAAAAATTTTTTACTACATAATAAATATTTCTGATTATACTATCATCAGATTATTACTTTTATTAAGTTAAAGTTTAAAGATTAATTGTTTTGTAAACCATTAACATTGCCACAATTTTCAGAGAATAAATTCCTTGTCTGTTTCTTTCCTAGAATTCCTTCTATCCTTTCTTTAAACAAATCTTTATAAACTGCAAAATAATTTACTATAAAGTTTACTTATTCAGCCATTTTTTTTACCTTCGAATCCATACTAACTGATTTTTTGACTCAGAAATTCAATTAACAGTGAATTATAATCATCAGATAGATATGATTCATTAAAAGTAAACATTGTAGCAAAAGTCATAAAAGTAAAATTATTACACTAGATAATGATGCTCCATCTAACTATTATTGTGAATTTATACTGTTTTCTTTAAACATTATTCTTCCAGGCATATCATAACAAATAAGTGAGATGTTAAAGCAATCATTTGAAGACAAATCAAGCTCAAGGTTTGAGTTCTGTGATGAAGCCACTAAACAAAAACATTATACGTAAAGTTTTCAAATGACATTAAATGTAACAGTTAAATATACTGTAACTGAAAACAAAAATCTAAAATTAATTTTCATGCATATTTTTCCTCTTAAAATAATTTAATTAATGTAATTTCTTTGCAAATATCTTTGTCGAATATTTAAGAATTTTTACTTCATTCTAATTTTTTTGAAAAATCATCTTACATTAAAAACTTCAAAAAAGTTACAAATGACACAAATAATAATAATTTTTTTATTCAATAATCTGACAACATTCCAATCAAATAATGCCATCTGCATATTTAAAAAATATATATACATATTAATGTTTTTTTTATTCACATCGTCCTTCTGTTTTTGACAATTTATTATTATAATCAATTTATATATACCACTCCTTCTGCAATCTTTCGTCAAAACATTTTTGCTGCTTCTCAAAAAATACAAAATCTCACAAAAAAAAACTGCTTCCAAAGATTTTTTTTTGGACACAATCCAGTCGAACTAGAAACATTGCACAATGATCTAAAATAAAATTTTTTATTGCAATAAGAAAATTGTAAATGTTTTACGTTTCTTTATTGAAGATCACCGATGGAAATTTGAATTTAAAAAAAAAGACCAAAATGCAAAAATTCATTTTGACCAGTTATTGGAAAAAGAGATGAAAGACCATGGGAAAAAAATGCCAATTAGCATTATCGGAAAATAAGACTGAATAAAAATTAAAAAAAAACTTTAATGCAAATTATAATTTAGTAATAATCAGTAATTTACACTGATAAGAATTGAAAATACTACCTGCAATTCAATGTGAGATTATTCTATTGCACCATCTGATTTTTGAATTTTTGTATTAAATAATATATATATTTTTATGTTGTTTTTATTTCAAAATAAGTTGGCAATTTATTTTCAAATAAAAAACTATTTAATTGTTTGAACCAGAATATTTTATTTTTTGATGATTCAAATTTTGAAATATGGCGTCCAATCTGACTAGTTTAATTGCAAAATAGTTTTTGCTTTTAATTTTGGCATGCTAGTTGATTAATTTTGAAATCAACATTGCAAAAAAAAAATTTATTGAAAATTAAACATTTGAATCAAAACCTTGCCTATATTTTTCTTTTTGAGCGTAAATATAGATTATTACATTTATATACCATCGGTACTTTTGCTATTGGAACAAAATACATACTCAACTTACATTGTTTCTTTAACAACAATTAAATAATACTTACAATATGGTACCTTAAAATTAAATAATTTTAATACATAATATGTATACTTTATGATAACTGGAACAACAAAATTAATTAAGGTGTCGTATCTAGAACAAACAGCATTATTATATGAATTTCAAGGAAGTCTGGAAAAACTGCAAATCTTTGTTTTTTTGTATGATATATATAATGTTAATATTCACCACATAATCATTTATTAACAAACTGTTAATGTTCTTTATTTTAAATCACACATAAAAAAATTAAATTGCTGCATGCAATAGATTTGACATTGGTTATTAGTTTTGTTGTTTTCAGCAGATTAATATATTTATATCTTAAAAGTTTCAACTTGAAACATCTGGCATAAATTGAAATTACTGCAGAGATTGTCATTACTTTTTTGAAATTTACTAACCTTCAAAATCAATTATTAAATCATGCATTTTGATGTTTTAATATCTGTTTAAAAATCACTGCAATAAAATTAATGAGACTCAACAAAAGATTCCAATTTCTGAGGCACTAGACCTTTATAAGGTATATTATATTTCTTGATTATTTGGGAGCATAGGCACTGGAGAGTGAGGTAGCGTAAAGGATATATATCCGTGAGAGCAGCATTACGAGCAAGCTGTAAAGCTGTCATTCCATCTAGATTACAAAAATCAAGATGAGCTCCGTGATTAAGAAGAGTTTTAAAAACTGTACGAGCACAAGGTTTATTCATCGCTGCTACATGCAAAGGAGTGTTGTTATCAAAATCGACTGCATTCGGGGATGCACCAACTTCCAATAATAAATCGACTACTTCCGGAGAAGGAAAAGTACAAACTGGATACCGACTTATTGATGAAGAATCCCTAAAGCAAGTCAAGTGAAGAGGTGTCCTTCCATTTCTACCACGAGGATTCATTCTTACTAGCCTATATACAGCTTTTTTCAATTCTAAATCTTGTTCGTTAATTAAATGTGGCTGTAAACGACACATTAGACCTATTAAATGAATTACAATAATTAAAGTTCTATGGAAATGACTTGAATCTCTCTCTGCAGGGGGTATTTTAGATACATGCTGCATGGCAGTATCTATTTCCTGAAGTGCCCTGTGGAAAACACCAAGTAAATCTGAAAAATTGACAGCAGGAATGCGTCTGTTACGAGCCCAAGCCTCAGACATCATAAACGAAAATAATTCTACAAAAGACAATAAACTACTTTGTGTCATAGGGCTAAGTGGTTCCAATACTTTTTGCTGAACATCTAAAGCATAAGTCCATAATCTAATGCAACGTTCAAAATTTCCTGTATCTGCATACACGGCACCCCGATAACGAATGTAATAAGATGTGTCAGGATGAGCGGGTCCAAGAATACGCTCCCTTACTAACAGGGCCTGCATGCGCATTTCATCAGGATCACAAATAAGTTCATCTAATTGACTTACTGAACGAACTTCCATGGCATTTTCATAGGCTGCTATAGGAGATGAGATGAGAGGCTTTTCTAGAGGCATATCTCCATTCTGATATCTTTCTTCCATTGCTCTTCTCCACAATTTAAGAGCACCCGTCATATCACGTTTCTTATCAACAAAAGTGGCACCAAGCAATTCAAGAGCATCAACTTTCTCTTTTTTTGTACATGTTAAGAGTGATATTAAATATTCTACTATAGGAATATGACCTGTCACAGCTGCAGCTAATAGTGGAGTCATTCCATAGGAATCAACATCCATTCTGGCACCATGACTCAATAATAATTTCATGATATCAAGACTACCAGATTCTGCACAATCATGAAGAGCTGTGTTACCTAAAAATAAAAATTATAAATTAATTATTGTCTGAAATTAATTATACCATAATTAATAAATATAAAATTTTTATATATATGATCTCTTAATTTAAGCAGTATGTTTCAAAAAATAAAAATTTAATATCTCTCACGATTGTTATGAAGAATTTAAAATATATAGGGGAGGACAGGGTAACTTCATCAATTAAATTTTCTTTCAGACAAAATAAAAGGAGACTCTCTTTAGAGGCTAGTCAGTTGAGTTTTAATGACGGCTTGTTGAGTGTGGTGTGTGTGTTGTTCTCCGACAAGCATAGTTGAAATATCAAATAAGTTGTCTGTTTCATTCAATTTCTGATAACATTTTGCTTCCATTTATATAAAATTGTCATGTTTTGTTATAATTCCATAATAACGAAAGTTGTTATTCCTGTGAGAAGGATAAAACATTAACTTATTCACATGGCCAGATCATGGCTTGGTACCCTATTTTCAGGGTTCCACTTAATGTTTCTAAATCATGACTATTGGGGCATCTTCGGTAGTGTTGCCGATCTTGTTCCTGATCGTGTTTTGCCGTGGTTTGATTTGATCGCAAACAATAAACAACAAGCAGAAGAAATAACTTGATCCCCATACAAAGCCACACTAGAAGCCAAGGCTAAAGTTAAAAAATCAGGAACTTGCAGATGGGCAATGGATTTGGAGAAATCAGATTCAAAGTTCACTAAAGAAAGGGGGCAGAAAAGTCCTAAAGAATAGTAAAATGACAATGAAAATACTTACTGCATATATTGCAATAAACAACATGGAACTACTCAAAAAAAGTGGATTATGTGAACTGTGGGCTCATGTGGCTATACAGATGTGGAAAATGAGTTGGTTCATTTTATTTATGATATGTGTAGGGCATAAACAATTTGCTGTTAAGCATATTTTGCTTCTACTGTTTGTTTGAGTTCACTAATTCATTTATATTGCTTTTAACTTGCATTAGGATGCTTTCATTCATTATCTGTTTGATTTTTTTTTGTAATTAATTTTTGTTTACATTTTCTTTACTTAAATGTGCCTTCAAACTTATATTTCGTTGTTATAATATTAAATAGGTTTTTGAACTTGTATTTCTTTGTTTTAACAGTGAATTCCAATTTATACACTGTTAATAACACAAATTTATATACCTGCTTATCTTGCCCCATTACTGTTGCCGAGGTTGCCCCTGGTATGGGGAAAACTTTGGCAATTGCTATCTTTTTATAAAGTTATTATTATGATTATTTTTATTTCCAAACTGATTTTAACCAGTTCTATGGTAAGTTTACATTCTGGTTGACAATAAACAATGCTTTTCTTCAATTTATGGCAGTATTTGTTACTCAAAATTTAATTTATTCTTATCATGCCAAAGTTGCCCAGTTCTCCCCTATATATATCTCAACAATAGATACAATTTATTCAGTAATTTCTTGCTATTGAAGAAGAGATGAATAATTTTAATTAAATCATCATGTGCATTTATTTTTATAAACAGTCAAACCTCAGGTTTTGAATGCATTGCTTTTTGAACAATTTGGTTTATAAACAAACTTTTGAATGCCATATTTGCTCCAGTTGCCGTACAATAACTCAGCTGCCAAACAAGCTACTTGGCAAGATCCAGTCACCGATTAGAGAGAGAGACAGTCAACTCCATATACTTCCAGTGTTAAAAAAGATTAATGACCAAACCAATCAATGATGGGACTATCGATTCAGAAGTTAGTAGTACTGAAATTACATTGCATCATTAGATGTCACAACATTAACCGCTGATTATGCTGTTATTCAAATTAGATTTCAATGTGCATATGAGTAAGATACTTCTTCCATTTTTCAGTATGCATCGTAATTGAATTTAAGTCAAATTAATTAATAAAAACAGCGTTAACTGACAGTGTAATATAAATGACATCCACAAATTGTGATTAAAGATGCTTAACTCAAATATTAAATAACAAAAATTTATTAATATATTATTATACATTATAATATTAATATTTACTAATACTTGGTAGCCAGTTAATTAAAACTAAAATACTGTATATTTCTGCAGATAAGACGATA